AAAAAAAACAGGTTGTAGTTTAATGCCGCTGTTGAATACTCTTGGCGGCAGAGGTCAGAGCCATCAAATACTTGACTAAGATTGGTTTATTAAGATGAAAGCAATATGGGGTATTCCACGACTTAGAGAAGGAATAGCAGTTGCAATAACTCAGTCTCTGATATGGTTCGACTGTGGGGTCCTAAAAAAACAATTTTTGCACCATTCGGATTTTACAAAGAAAAAAAAAAATCGGCTCTGTCACAACAGTCTAAAGCAGCGCTACCTTCAAGGTGATAAGAATGCTTTTTATGACACAACAAGACCCCTGTCAATGCTTAACGATCATGCAAAAAGTCAGTTGATTCGATAGTGTTGCAGATGTGTGGTGCCAAAGACAATAAAAGTTAGGAAAAAAAATGAATATTTAAAGAACCAAGAAAGAAACCGGGTGAACGACCACGCAAAACAATAAATAGTAGTTTTTCTAATCTTTTAAAGAAAACCACAGCAGCACTGTTTGTGAGGCAGAATTTCATTCATGCTTCATTATATAATGCCATGGCACTCTATGTTGCACTGTATGTGGTATTTTGAAAAAACCACTACAAATTTTGCCATGTAATACTATTGACTTTTCCAAAGTAATCCTGTCTCATCTGAATGGCTTATTGTTTGTTGTATCTCTCTCAAATCCAAAAGTCTACCGAGTTCCCCTCTGTTCCAATTGAACTACTGTGTACAAAAACCTGTGTTTTCAACGAACACTTGAATATATCAAATTTGGTTTCGCAGCAGCGGATCCATACCTGGAGAATAAGTTTTTTAAGTGTTATTTTGGCTGAAAGTGAAGTGATTTGAAAATGACGGGAATACCACTCACGGGCACGAAAGATAAAGAAATCTTATTTTCAGCATCTGACAAGCAACTCAAGCTCGACGTTTAAAAACTGTAAATAATTCTCCAACTTAACTGACTACATCCAAAGGTTCTTCTGGAACGGGTTAAAAACAGTAAAAATTTAAGAGAACCCAAATTCAGAACAGAATCTTGAAGTCCGCGCCAGTCTGTTAACTAATAGCATGCTTTACTTCGAATTAAGAGAAGCTTGAAACCTTTGTCCGTGTAAGTTTTGATAACTAAAGAAACTAAACGATCCAAAATTGACAAAAAATTATACGTACACTTGATGACATTTTTAAAAATCTACTCTTTAACTTCTAAAGAATAAATTTTGCAAGCGACAACACTACATATCAAATGAAAAAAGATAACTCCATACTCTTGCGCCATTCGCTCAGCCCCGCTGCCATCTCACCCACCCAAGTCCTTTTCTTTTATTAAACCATTTTAGGTAATCATCGTCTCATCGGGAATAATTGACAATTTAATACCATCCCATCATGCAAAGCGAACAACATGAAAAAGATCAGTTCCGACTTGTTTTAAAAATCACGTGTAAAAAAGTACCGAGCCCTGTTGCTTCTCCAGTCACATTAATACTCATAACAGTACTAAACAGCCTTCACCACTCTAATAACTTTCCACCGGAAAAACGTTGACAAACTTGTATGCATCATACTTGCCGAATAATCCCGTAATTTCAAAACTAAACTGACAAACAGATAAAATGAGTCGAGAAACTTGGTTAACAGTACTGTAGCTGAAAACTTTAAATTACTGACGTTTTAAGATTCCAGCCGATTTTTGCGACAGTGCAGCAAAAATTTCTAATTCTAACAAAGCAACTTGTCCAAGTGAGCTCCCTCTCCTCCACATACAATATTTAGATAACACGTTACTTTCTTCACACTTGAAATAATTACAAAGGCTTGATAAAAAACGAAATAGATATACTTTACGCAACGAATGCATTGATATGAAAAGAGTGTACCATTTATACCAAATAATTTATCTCTATGCAACAAAACTCAAGACGTCAAATTCCAATCCAGAACAGGCCTAACCGACCAGAAGCAAAAAGACCTGATGTCAAAATATACACTAAAAAACTGCCATTAGGAGCTAGAAAACAGATTCTATAAAGAATAAAAAATAAAAAACCTTTAAAATCACATTCAAAAGGCATTTCGCTCCCGGTGTTGATTCTGGATGAACAAAATGATTTTTCAGATAGTATCTTCTGAACGACTACAGGTATTAGACAAGCTACCAAATAAAGAAACTAGATGAGCCAATTTCCGACTATAAGACATTTCCATAAATGAAAGACAAAACAATGGCAACAAGAAATTCTTCCGTCAAAAACGGGGGAGAAACAAAATACTATGCAGAATAAATCAACTTAAATTTTACAGGTCTGAATGAGAATTTCTTTTAATGCAGCTTGCGTCTTTACCTTTCAAAACTCGTTCTTCACAAAGGAACTGCTAAAAAAGCATTTTAAAAAATGACTGGTATAAAAAAATTATAGAGAAAAAAATTAGAAACACAAATCCATAATTCAGACTGCTTTTGTAATGCACATAAGTTTTCAAAAAATGTTAAATTCAGTAAAGTCATATTTAATCTTTTTTTAAACTTTTCTGAATTCTAAATTCTTTTGAAAGAAAAGTAATAATAAACAAGAAATTAAAAGACCTGCAGCGCACTACGTTGTTTAAGATAATACCAGCGCTCAATCGCATTTTCATACTCCTCCAAAATCAAATCGCACTGCTGTTTCAGAAAAACAACTTCTGCTGACGGCTGATCCCACAAATCATACGGTATACCGAGCTCAACCTAGAAAATTAAAACTTTTAATAATCTTCATGATTCAATCAATTAGTCCAGTCTACATTTTGATCATCAAAGTGGTAAATTAAGCTTCTTATCAAAAAATAAAACTGACCTTAACTCCTCGGTCTTTCAATTTATGCAAAGTTTTCATAGTTTGGCTTTCCGCCTTCTGAAACCTATCAAGTCCCTGCTTCTCCTTGTGGACTTTATACTGCAAAATAACATCGCAAAATTTGTCCAGAATTTCTATCAATGTTAACTCATCACGCTTTTTTTCCGCACCCTAAAACGAGAGACCCTATTATTGTTATAGAAAAAAAATTGTACACTGATAAAAGAAACTAATTTCAACTTAGTATGCGCTTTTCAGACTTACCAGCAGAACCTAAAATCCCATTCAAAATGAAACCTTGGTATAATGTCCTGAGATAGCTATAATGTGATTCAAAAACCTTCCCTATTCGCAGATCAAACAAGCTAGAGAACGCAAACCTTTTTTCTTTCCACTGAGTGTAACTGGCTTTCCAGTTCTCTAGCAAATATAACACAAGCCTCACACTTATCTGGCAAGTCTACCACATCCTCATCAGAACAGTATCCAAGTGAAACGATAGTCAAGATCAAGCATACCAAGAAAATTCTAGGTTGTAGAAGGAGCTGTTTCATTTTTTTCGACACTGCCCTCGG